GGAAGAATTTAAATCAGAAGTCAATGTTAAGATGAAAGACAATAAAATTTCTAATGTTGATAAAATGCAGAGAGTTGAAAACGAAATTGTTATGATGCAATTCAGGGCAATGGAATTTGCCATAAGGCTTCGAGGAATTAGAGACGATGACAGACAGGATTTGAGACAGATTTGTGCTGATGCTCTGGCAGTGATCTTAAAAATTAATCCTGATGTGGTTTTTTACAAAATAGACAAAATTTACAGAGTGAATTCTTGGGTGGCCAGACAAAGACAATTGCCTAGAGATGTGGTCATATATTTTACGGACAGAGCAATAAGAAATGATATCCTGCAAAAATCCTTTCTTACTTCTGTGCAAGTGGGGGGTGCACAAATTGGAGTTTACAAGGAACTACCACCTAAAATGCTGAAAGCCAGAAAAGATTTTGGCTTTTTGTAAAAGAACTGCAAAAACAAGAGATACCATTTCGGTGGGATGCCCCAACTGGCATAATCTTGAAATATAAGGGAGAAAGACATCGTTTGAATACTGTGGAGAAGGCGGAGCATTTCTACACTACTATTTTTAAAGAAAGAACACCATCTCCACGTACATCTACAGTCCTGGAAATTAAGGAGAGTGATAAGAAGCAACTTCAACAAGAACCGCAAGAACAGTCAAAGCAGGTGGAGTTAGAGAAAATGCAGGTGCTGAAGGAGGTTTTTTGGATGAGCCTCTGTTGGAATCTTCTCCAATTTTGGACCCGGTTCGGATGGTTGAGGTTAAGGATCAGCGTATAACTCGTGCAAAATCTAGGCAACTTAAAGAAAAGCAGCAACAACAGGAAAGACAAGATAAAAAGGGAGCTAAGAGTACCACACAAGAGACTGGAGCCATGGGGGGAGCAAGACCGAAGATTCCGGAAGATATTCGGTTATTCTGCTCGTTGCTTCACAAAGATAAAGATGACGATTAAGTGTTTATCTTGGAATGTGAATGGGTTGAACTCAGTACAGAAAAGGAAGAAGTTATTTGCATATTTGAGACAATTTAATAATGATATAATTTGTTTACAAGAAACTCATATCACAACTCAAGATCAAAAATACTTGATAAATTCTAAATTAGGAACACATTTTATATCTTCAACTTTGCAAAAAAAGAATGGTGTGGTTATTTATATAAACAAAAGACTAACAGCTAAAATTATAGAAGCAGATGAAGATGGTAGGTTTATAGCAATCGAATTGCTTACAGTAAATGGCCAAATTCTTTTGATTGGAATTTATGCTCCCAACCAACAACAGGATCATTTTTATAAAATGTTACATACTAAAATATTGCAATGGGACTATAGATCTATTTTAATAATGGGAGACTGGAATGGAGTAATCGATTCTAAACTAGATAAAAAGAGTTTGGCGAAATCCAGGATTAGACTACCACAGACTTTTTTTGATATGAAAGAAGACCTGGAATTAAAAGATATTTGGAGAATACACAATCCAAAAGAATTGGATTATACTTTTTTTTCTGACAGACATAGATCCTTCTCTAGGATTGACTTTATTTTGTTGTCAGATGATTTACTTGTCAAGACAAAAAGAACAAAGATTTTCCCAAGAACTTTGTCCGACCATAGCCCAGTATGGATAGAAATCGAGATGGGTAAGACTGAGCGACGCTCTTGGAGAGTGAATGAAAACTTGTTCAGATATGAAAAAAACATAATAGAACTTAAAAAGCACTTGAAAGAATTTTTTGAAATAAATTTGAATAAAGGTACCCCAATTGAAATTGTGTGGGATGCGAGCAAAGCTTATATGCTTATTTACATGAACTCTAAACATAGACTGATTCGACAAAAGAAAGGATCTGAATTGGAAGTAGAAATAAAGAACAAAGAACAGCTACTTATTAAAAACCCAACAGATGAAAGAATACGTGGTGTTATAAAACTTCTGAAAGACCAATTTCAAATGCTTATGGCGGAACAAGTTGCAACAAACTTACAATATGCGAAGCATAATACATTTTGTAATGCCAATAAACCGGGCAGATGGTTGGCTTACACATTAAGAAAAAAGCAGAGTATACGACTATTGATAATATTGATATTGGAGGGAAAGAAATTTTTCAACAAAAATTAATTAAAGAAGCTTTTGTGGACTATTATACTAAACTATATGCTAAAGATGATGTGCAGAATGGACTTATAGAAAAATATTTAGATAATAAAAGAGTTACAAAAATCACAGACCAACAAAAGGTAAGAATGAATTATCCTATAACAGAGGAGGAGATAATGGTAGCAATTAAACAATTAAAAATAGCTAAAGCTCCTGGAACGGATGGCTTGACTGCAGTGTACTATAAAACTCTGCAAGCAGAAATGGTGGAACAACTTAGAGATTTGTTTTGTAATATTCAACAAGGGGGTAAAATACCCCCATCATGGACAACAGCTTATATTTCTTTGATACCAAAAGAACATGCAGGTCCTAAAAAACCGGAGAATTATAGACCAATATCTCTTCTTAATACTGATTATAAAATTTATGCAAAAGTACTAGCCAACAGGCTGATGCCAGTAATCCAAAAGGTGATTCATGATGACCAAGCGGGATTTATCGAGAGTAGATATATGAAGGATAATGTAAGGCAAGTAATAGACTTATTGGAATATCTTGAGAGGAACAAACAGATACCTGCAGTGCTGGTTTTTTTGGATGCGGAAAAGGCCTTTGACAGAGTGGATTGGAATTTTCTATTAAAGACTTTAAAAAAGATGGACTTTGGGGACCAATTTATACAGGCGGTTTCAGCAATTTACCAAGAGCAAAAGGCACAGATTATTATTAATGGAAGTTTGACAACAGAGTTTAAAATTGAAAAAGGAACAAGACAGGGATGTCCGTTATCCCCATTGCTATTTATTCTAACACTAGAAGTCTTGTTAAATACAATACGGGACTCTAATATCCTGAAAGGTATAATGATAAGGCAAGAGGATTACAGAATAAAGGCATTTGCAGATGATCTGGTCGTTACCTTAACACAGCCAATGGAATCAATAATCCAGATGAAGGACATTATACAAGACTATGGTAAAGTTTCAGGTTTTAGACTGAACCAGAGAAAAACTAAGATGATAGCTAAAAATATGACACAAGATCGTAAACACGAGCTTAAAAGGAGGGCAGGTTTTGAGATTGTACCAAAGGTAAAATATCTAGGAGTTCAGGTTGCAGAATCAAATATGAAACTGTTTCAAAATAATTATGAGGTGTTGTGGCGAGAGGTGCAGAAAGATATGGAGACTTGGAAAAAACTGCAGCTTTCTCTATTGGAAGAATAGCAGCAGTTAAGATGAACATTTTGCCAAGATTTCTTTTTTTGTTTCAAATGATTCCGGTGCTTAAAAGTGATAAACAACTGAAAGTCTGGCAAACTGGAGTGAATAAGTTTGTCTGGAACGAGAAAAAACCGAGAGTGAAATTGAAAATTATGCAAGATGTTCCAGAAAGGGGAGGCCTTAAACTTCCAAACCTACAGTTATATTATGAAGCAGCAGCTTTGACTTTAGCAAGTGATGGTTTGGAAGGAAAAAGACTGGAATACTGAATATAGAAAGTTTTGATCTTGAATTTGGATGGCATGCTTACTTATTTTATGACAACAAAGTGGATAAAGTATTTAAAAGCCATATACTTAGAGGCTCTTTGATGAGAGTTTGGAAGAAGCACCGATTCAAATGGGATTATAAAATACTGCTATGGTTGGATCTTGGTCATATTATGTGGAATACAAATATAATGTCACTCGGGGGGTTTTTATACAAAGAGGTTCTTTTTACAGATGCGGGCAGATGGCAGTTGAAGACATTACAGACACTGTTGGATGAAGGGATTAACTTAACTTGGTTACAATATAATCAATTACAATTGAGATGGAAAGAGGACCAAAAAATTGGTATTATGTTGCATGAGGAAGAATTGGTTAGACACATAAAAGAGAAAGGTCCAATGCATATTAAAAGGCTTTATAATGTTTTTTTAGAAAGGGATTCAGAAACTGAATTGGTTAAAGATTGTATGATTAAGTGGGCACAAAACTTTGAGGAACCAGTGATGTTGGAAACATGGGAAAAAATTTGGGTTCAGAATGTTAAATTCACACAGTCGCAAAATTTGAGGGAAAATTTTTATAAAATGTTTTATAGATGGCATTTAGACCCCAAAAAATTGTCGTGTATGTACCCTAATGTTCAGCCAAAATGTTGGAGATGTGATTGTTTAGATGCTACATATTATCATGTTTGGTGGACTTGTAGGAAAGTTAAGGCTTTTTGGATAAAAATTTGGTGGGTCATGCAGAATGTTTTGAAGAAAAAAATTCAATTTTCTCCACAATTGTTTTTATTGGGTATAGTTAAGGGTTTTACTTCAGGTGAAACAATTGATATTGTACATGATAACAGCTGCGAGATTATTGATAGGTAAATATTGGAAGAATGAAGTTTTGCCCACGATCGAGGAATGGATTCTGAAGATGGCCAGTTTTGCAGAGATGGCGAAGATTTCAGCATTTTTAAAAGACTGTTCACAAGAGACTTATGAATGGGAATGGAAAAAGTGGATAGATTATGTTCAGAACAAATATCAAACTAGGAAGTATCAAATAGCTTTTATTTGAAAATGATATTTTAAGATAGAAATATTTCAATGTAATGAAGATGAAAAAAATTATGAGGGGAAGGGAGGGGTTCAAGTTTTATATAAGTTTTATATTAAGGTTTTTTTTTACCTGATATGAGTATATTGTGTGGAAGTCCGGGGGGAGGGGAGGGTTAGGGAGGGCTAGGGAGGTTGGGAAGTTTGGGGTGGGCTGAGGGGGGGGGAAACGGGTGAAAATGTAATTGTAAAACTTTTGCAATAAAAAAAAAAAAAGAAAATTCTGCAGAAAGCAGGTTTCTCTGAATTATTAACATACCATCATGCTATAGAAAGAGTATTACCTGCTTATATCTTTCTGCTTGTCTTCCAACATCAACTTCTATGACTGAGAAATGGCCAATAACAGGGTCAGTATGAGAACCTATTGTGTAGGAATGGACCTGGTAGAGAAACATATGGTTAGAGGCAGGATATGAGATATATCTAAAACTACACATGTAAATGTATTGTCTATTGTAAAGGCAATACACTTAAATGTGTATCTTTAGGTATTAGATTACAGGTAGTCCTCGAATTAACCACCACAATTGGAACTGGAATTTCGGTCATGAGTCATGGCATCACATGACTGGACTAGATTTTATGTGTTTTTATGATGATTGTTAAGTAATTCAATGCAATCATTAAGCAAACCACATGGTCGTATGAAACCATTTTATCCATTTCATATTTGCTTGAAAATCTTTATAAAGAAACCAAATCTCAAGGCTATTAGGCGAGACAACCTCCTGCATGCTTCCCACCACCAAATCAAGGTTGACTCAGCCTTCCATCCTTTCTAAGGTGGGTAAATTGAGGACCCAGTTTGTGGGGGCAATAAGCTGACTTTGTATAAATATACAAAAGGATGAAGGCTATTGCTGAGCACATTGTAAGCCGCCCTGAGTCTCCGGAGAAGGGCGGCATATAAATCAAATTTAAAAAAAAAAAAAAAAAATCAGTGGAGAAGTTGGAAGGAAGTTGGCTCAAAACCAGGTGGCTCAAAACCAGGACAGCAGGCAGTAAAATGGTTCTTGTCTATCGGTGGTTAGGATTAGGGTTTCATAGAGCTACAGTACATGAAATAAAACTAGCATACTTCAGTAGGCCAGACAGATATCATGCTGCCTGTAGATAAAAATTCAAAAACAATGCATTCTAATTTTAAGTAAAAAAAAGCAGTAAGATTATCAGTGGGGAAAAGTTTACCACACAAATCAAACAGTTGCGTTCCATGTTTTGTCCATGTATCTTTGCGTGGAAGGTTTAATTGCTTACACTAATAACAATTTTCTGTCTCAGAAGGCGAAGTGATACTAATAGACATTTTGTCCACCATTTTGCTCCATTTTGTACCTCTCACTGAAAATCAATTGTGAAACATTAATTTGGAGCTCTACTGATCCTTAACATATATAATTTGTATTACCTTGAAGATCTATAAATAAGCCTACTATGGCCTCTTGCAGCAGAAGTCTAAATTTCAATTATGGCTTGGCTGCAAACTAACTCCCAGTTCAGCTCAATGGCTAAACTATGAACTAAAACCTGGAACTATGGCATGAGTGGGAGGTAATATCCAAGCTGGAAGCTCTTCAGGACTCATAATGTCAAAGCACGATTAACTGTTATATCAGAATAAACTGAATATGAATCTACAGTGGTTTCAGGCATCTGAACTTTCCATTCAGTTTTAGTATCTAATAACTTTGGAAAATAGTAAATAAAAAAATATCACCACCATGTAAAGTAAATATATCCATTCTTCTTGCTACAAATGTTGGCAAAAAAAAAAAAAGAATAGATAAAGACACACTCTTAAACCCTATTTTGTTTTAAAACTTTTTCTGAAACTTATAGACTCAAGACCAGAGAAGGATAATGCCACAAAATATAAAGTATTGCAACCCAAGTTCTACTTACCTTATGCAGTAACTTGCATTGCTCTTCCTGGTCAGAGTGGTAACTCCGCCATTGGAGTTTCAGGCGGCCATTCAACCACTGAAGGTATTGGACATCTTTTTGGCCTTTAATGTGAGGTTTTGAAACAAGGCTTTTCCCATCTTGCAGACATTTTAGAAGAGGATTGCACTAAGAAGGAAAACAATAACAAAATCTCTGAAAATGGTTTTTGCTCTGTACCAACTCAGTTTTTCACAATATCCAAGGTTTATTACGTGAGCTTAGAGTATTTCTATAGATGTTTAGTATTCGTTGTTGCCTAGAAATTTTAGCAGAATTTCTAAAGATGCTATTGATAGAGTAATTTCTCATTAATCAAGAGTCTGATGAAATATATTCCTCTAGGAATAGTAATATATGTAGAGCTCTCTTTTTATTATTCTCTTTCTAGATTGTATTCTATCTCTATATCATAACTTGAAAGGAAGTTCTCATAAACAGACATTTTCCCTTTTCTGCTGTGTTATCACATTCAAGCACCAACATACAGATATTTTCATAAAAAGGCATCAAAGATTCTCCAAATATATATATATTCAAGATGTCAAATTCAAGAAATAGCAAGTATGTTAAAATAAATGAAGCTCCCCAGAAGTGAAAAACAATTGACTTTATCAGACTATCTAAATTTCCTGAATATTTCATGAAAGATACATGCAAAAAAAGATTGATATAGGGAATGTAACTGGGAGCCTAAACACTGAGATTCATTATCTAAAATGGCTGAAGGACACCAAGCTTATCTGCTCCTGACATATTCAAATATTCTAGTCTTTGAAAATGTGCCACTTTGATCACCATCCCTTTATCAACAGCACTTTTTATTCTATCCAATGCAGTGAAATATTGGAAAGAAATTATGTAAAGTGATTTGGGACTGTATCCATCAGGTTAAGTCTCTGAACATTGAACAGAACCAAATATTGTATGGTGGAGGAAAAAAATCTTGTAATTCATTATGGAAAGAGGAAATTGGTCTTCTCTCCTTCTAGGCTTTATGCCTGGCAGCTTTAGGATTAGGTTGGCTTATGTAGGCACTATGCAGACCAGATTTTTGCTTAAAGAGATCTGTAAAAAATGCATGACTGTGAGAAAGTAAGTTTATGGTATACATTTTGATTCAAATAAAGTATGTTAAAGTGAACAGTCTTGAACTGTAAAATGTTTGGAGTAGAGTCCAAAATTAGTTGCTGAATGCAGTAACAGCAGTGCACAATAAATCTAAACCATACCTGAGAATAAACAAAAAGGTTGGCAAATGTTTCATATTAGCAGGAGTAAGAGAAGGATTAAGATGGCGCATTGGATACCTTTTCATTTATTTTATAAATTTATTCCATATATGCTATATACATGGAATGTTTGTGTTGATATAGAGGTGTGATGCTTGATACATGAATGTATATGAATGTATAAGAAGCTAGCACAGAAGCTGTGAACTCATACATAAATCTATATATTATATTATATTATATTATATTATATTATATTATATTATATTATTATTTCTATATTAGTCTTACTAGAAATCAGGACAAATATTAAGTTTGCATGGATAAATTAGTAATAGGTTTATAAGTAATTATCTGTACGTGGCCATTAATCCTGGATATCAAATCATAGTAGATATGCTACTATATCTCAACTCAAAAGTCCAGATTTTGAAATTAAAACTCAGTAGTCCTATGCTACAAAGGTGTCTGTTTTTGGTCTCACTCAATATTTTATGTATATTTCATAGCTGTTAAATACCAAGATAAAGCTTTATTGCTTAGCCAGCTCAAAAAATAAAAAGCAGTGCTTTAATTATGCAGAAATAGATGAATAGTTAATGTATTTGGTATCACCACATTTAATGCTCCTTTTCGGGGGAGGGAGAGGGAGAGGAATGAGGGAAATTTTGAAATTCTTTAAGTAAAAAATCACTTCATTATTTTATTAAATATAGTATAGATATGCATAATTCTATTACTTAATTAAAGTATGTTTTGGCTACTGAAAACAATTATAGATTCACTGATTGCAATTATTTTGAAAATAAGGAATACCCGTTTTTCCTGGGGAAGCAGGAAGGCAAAAAGGTAATGTTGAAAGTAGAAAAATCAATCAATCCTGATAAAACAGGCAAACTCCTGTCTTAATGGAGATACAACCATTCATTTTTGCTGCCATGATTATACTGTGAATTTATACTCAGTTTGCAGTCAATTATTATTCCTATATATCACTGGTGTCAAACTCTTGGTGTCACGTTGCCCTCACGTGATTTATCACGTTTTTTCCTTCGCGGAGCTGCGGTGGGTGTGGCCTGCGTGTAATGCATCCAGCCAGCAGGCCATCAGTTTGATACCACTGATATATATATATATATGTGGGTCTTTGGTTATTCGGGTTTTCTCCCACGTAAAGTTGGAGGTGTCTTGGCAACGTTTCGACGAAGTCTCATTCGTCATCTTCAGGCTGGTGTTCTCGGCTTCGTGCTTCTAGGACACCTAGAAGACACCTCCAACTTTACGCGGGAGAAAACCCGAATAACCAAAGACCCACATACAAACACCCGCGAAAACCTCAGAAAACATATATATATATCCATAGTATTGTTACCAAATCACATATTCCCCATTTTATATAAGTGGGTTTATTTTTTCTTTCCTATATAACAATTGTATTTGTCCACACTAAATTTCATTCTGCTATTTTCAGCAAATTTCTCTACAGTATCTAAATTTGTTTGAATTTCATTTCTGCCTTGTAGAGTTAGCCACCCAACTTTAAATTTTCTGCAAATTCATAAAAATTTTCTTTAAAGTTTGTAATAAAATAATCTTTATAGAGAGCAAAAATCATATCTTGTAACAATCCACTCAGTGCCTCCCACCCTCATATGATACTGATTACCACTCTTTTGAGTACAATTTTTGAAACATGTTAAACGTGGATGGCATGTCAATTAAGTCAAGACAATTGGGTAGAAAATTAATATTTAATTAACTGTTAATCAGAATGTCATGATATACTTTGTTAAATGATTTGCTGAAATCAAGATTATATAACAATGCATTCCTACAAATAATGCTATATTTCATCAAAGTTTAAGAAAAATAACAAAACAAGCAAAAAAAATTTCTACAATTCTACAATATATCCTCACAGTGTCTGGACTATTTTTACCTAGAGATGGTCAACAACAGACTTTGAGAACTGAAAGGCCCAAAAAAGGGGATGTCTGCAGTTCAGATGTCTTTCAGTAAGGAAGCTAAATATTTTAAATTAGCGTAATTTCTAATTTGCCTGGAACAACTTTTCTACTTTAGATCTAGGTAAAATGATATGCATTCAAGCCATTTGTCTCTTAAAACAATTTCCACAAAGTATGCTGGGAACATGTACATCTGGTTGGAATACATTAAAAATAACCTGCCTGTATTGCCAATCTCAACAAAAAAAATCATCTGACCCATTCTCTATCTCATTATTTAGCTGCTAATGAACATTATTCTTGAGCCCCTTGAACTCACCATGCATACTTTTGCTTCATCCCAAAGTTTAAATCTATTTAGTATCAATAACTTTTCCATTAGAGCTATTCTGCAAAGGAACCAAGAGAGTGCCAATAGCAATTCTCTGCTTGCTTCTGAACCATCAGCAGGAAGCTGATAAAATTTTGGTCTTCTATATCCATAGCTCAAGGCTGCATATTTGACAAATCTGACTTGGGTGCCTAAAGAGGAGATAAGGTAAATCTTGATTATTTATTACCATTCAAGTAACCACAAATTCACCAGAGTGTGCTAAAGTAAGTAGAATCAAAATTTGGAAGGCAAGGGGATAAAATCCTATCACTTCAGGAGTTAATTTATACCACAGTAAACTGGGAGGACATGTTCACAGTTTCCTTTTTTAAAAAAATTGATGTTCAAGGTTAGCAACAATTATGGACTAGTCTCTCAGTACCATCTCCACTCCCCCAATAATAATTTCGTTCTTAAAATGAAAAGAAAGTGATCTCCCATTATCCCTGAGTTCACTGAATTATTAAACAAAGACTTTGTAAAATTATAAGAAGAAACCATTGAGTCCAATATCTTGCTCTGTGCAAAATAAATATTAAAGTATTTATATAAAATGACTGTCCAAATTCTGTTCAAACATCTCTAGTGAAGAGAACCTCACTGCCTTTTTGAGTAATTCATTCACTTGTCAAATTATAATGGTTACTGTTGATTCTTCTTCTACATTTAACTGGAGCCTTTTTATAACTATAGCCCATTCTTCTATACGAAATCCTTTCAGATACTTAAAGGCTGCTATCATAAATTTTACAGTAATTATTATTTCTTGAGATAAGACTAGAAAGTATCACATATGCCTTGTAATTTGGACAGCATCATTCCTGGAATGAGATAGTAGCATACAACTAATCTATAACAGATTGCCAGCAGGGCTTTTTGCCTGAACAGCTTTACACTTTTCTCGAACAAAGAAAGAAAGAAATTATCTATTTCAGGTTTTGTCCTGTCTTAGATGCTAAAGTCATTTGGGTGATCTTGAGCTAATCACTTTCACTTACTCCTAAAAAGGCTGTTTCTGAAAACATTGCCAAAAAACCTGCATGGACTTATCCAGGCAGTTGCCATAAGTTAAACTGACTTGAAGGCATCCATAAACAAATAAATGCATTTACATCAATATGTTATGTAGAATTCACTATGTAAAAACTACAGCAACACTGTCTAGAATCAAAGTAATGTACAGTACATGAGCTAATAAAACTATAAACACAGTAATTTAATACTCTGACAGTATGAATATGTAATAAAACAATTATCAGATGCTTTGTGAGACTTCATGAGAAAGCTGCCTGAAACAATCCAATCTGAATTTCATAGAGTTGCAGTCATTCAGTTCTCAATGCATGTTTGCCTGGCATCAGAGTAGGATATACTATTAGTAAGGTCTTACCTCTGAGTGTGAAAGAGTAGTATAATGGTGGGGCAATTGAAACAATCATTTTATTCCTTGGTGAAACATTTCTCAAAGCACTAGTGCTCCCCAGCAGTGAGTAAAAAAACTATTCCTAGAGGCTGGATTGATTATTCTGATCAAAGTCAAGCAAACAGGGCTATCAATATGGTTGCACCCAAGTACCTTCTCCAATGCTGTGGAAGTTTTAGAAAATCTGATTTTTTGAAGCAGGTTGGATAACAGATGGAGTACTTGTACGAATTACTAGGTGTAAGTGTCAGCCTCTGCCTTTACTGCTTTGGCTGCCATAGTAATGGGAGGGGGAAGAGCTAGGTAGCATGGTGGGGGGGAAGCGTGCTGGAGGAATCTGGAGGAATCGAAAGCGATACTTAAGCCACCGGACTCTATCTTTGAAGCTGCTGTCATTCCTGATTGATGACGCTGCCAGATGTGTGCTTCCACCTGACCCCTGAGAGACCTTTGGATTGGATGATTTATGGTGGACAGTGGGAGGGGAAGCTTTCTATATGCAATTTTCGTGCTTGTTGCCTTAGATTCTCCTTTCCTTTGGTTGTGTTCACTTCATTTTCTAGTAAAAGTACCTTTCTCTATAAACAATGGAGTTTGGGTCATTCTTTCCTGGACTTTGAAGGAAGCACACCTGACATTAAGCAGAATCTATTCTCCAGCCATCCCAGATAAACACCGAGGGGGCTGAACCCAAAATATGTCAGATCAAGAGAGTGAAGGAGACCAGATGGGAGCTTCTGGCTCTACGATGACTTCACTTCAAGCGGAGAAGGAAGCTGCGGAATGGATGGAAAAAATTCGGCTGAGAGAGGAGCCAGAGGAAGCTAGATGGTCGAGGGGAGTAGGAAGGTTGCCGGACCTGGGGAGGACCCCACAAGGAGTAACCAGCTCCAGACCCCGTAAGGGAGAGGCAGTGTGGCTGCAAGAGCAAAGGGAGAGCCTCATGATTGCTCAAGCGATGCAACTCCTCTGCGATGCCGAGGAAAGCCGGAAAAGCCGTGAGTCTTATGTATTCCCTGTGGGGAAGGGAGGAGACTACCCCAGGCTGGATCCAGAAGAGACAGCCTGTGGGGGAGAGGAAGAGGAAGCTGGGGAAGGAACATCTCAGGCTTCTGGAGCTCAAGCGAGGTATGCAGCAGCCCAAGGATCCCCAGCCTTGCAAGCCCCACCCCGCAGACGCAAAAAACCAAAAATCCCCCCCCAACCGGAAAATATGATGGGAATCCGAAGACCTTGGGGCTTTTCTTGACCCAAATGTGGAACCACATGCAGGACTGGGGGAGGACTACTTATCAGATGCGGCACGAGTGAGATGCGTCACGAATGTCTTAGAGGGAGTAGCAGCTGAATGGATGGTGGTCCTCCACAATAATAATTCCCCCTTGCTGAGGAATTACAACCTGTTCATGGGGGCTCTTAGGAGGCGGTTTGAAGACCATCTAGCTGAGCGGAAAGCGAGACTCAGGATGAAGGGTATCCAGCAGGGCCAGAGATCGGTGGCAGAATACACCCAAGAATTTCGCAAACTGGCACCCTACATGACAGGGTGATCAGAAGCGGCCCTACTGGAGAGTTTCAAGGACGGACTAAACGAAGACATATACAAAGACTGTAGAGCACGGGGGGTTCCCGAAGACTTGCAGAGTTGGCACGTAGTAGCTGAGGATGTGGAGATCGAGCTGGCCCGAAGCCGACTCCAAGGGGGCCATGCAGGGGACCCATCATCCTCCTTCTACCACAAAGGAGCGCCAAAGACGGGCACGGGGAGAGCGGAATTCAAACCCAAATCGAAGCCCTTCATGTGCTTCAAATGTGGAAAGGAAGAACCTTTGGATTGGATGATTTATGGTGGACAATGGGAGGGGATGCTTTCTATATGCAATTTTTGCGCTTGTTGCCTTAGATTCTGCTTTCCTTTGGTTGCGTTCACTTCACAAGGTGGCCTTTGGTGGTCTTTGATGGCCATCCACCCTTGAATTGGGTTTTGCTGTTTCGTTATTCCTACTCTCGCCTCAAGGAAGAGCTTGTGCCCGTGGGACTATTACCATCGCTATTAACATCTTTACGAACTGCTAGCCTTTTTATTCAACCCCTAACTGGAAGAGAACTGGGTGAAATGGTATGCAGGTGCTGAGAGGGCTGTTGTCATCCACCCAACGAAAGGATGGACTATTCTGACTTTATTGTCGGTGTCATCTGGCCCGGTCACTGTGAGAGGGTGACTGGGATAATTATCCTCCGAATGCGGTGGGATGACACTGGCCACTCCCATTGCCGTGAGAGGGCAGTGAAGCCCAGCTCCTGGTACGAAAATCTACTCTTGACCCAGTACTATTGGACTATCTGGTGAAGCCCTGACCAGTTTACTTTCCACCTCTGTTTTTTGTGATGTTTACGGCTGCTGACCTTCTTACGCTGCGAGACTCCCCCCTCTTGCAGGTTTGGCCCTCCTCACTATCGAGGGCCTACCTTGATGACGGATTTTGGAATCCCGAGAGGTGGCATGGTGCGAAGAGGGGGTTGTGGGTTTTTTTGGGAAGTTTTTAGATAGGATTTTAAAAGGCTCTGGGACTGGGGTGGGTTGTGTGGGTTTGGGGGAGAACCCACAGGGGAGGAGGCAGGTCTTGAGAATATTATCTGGGAAGAGTTTGTTTTGTTTGTTTTGTTTGTTTGTTTTATTAGAGTTATATACCGCCCTACTCTCGAAGGACTCAGGGCGGTGAACAGGCACAAAATAAAATACATAGATAAAAGTTAAAAGACATCATTAAAACCAGATTAAATAATTTAGCCCGAGACAATTAAAAAACCCAATAATTTAAAACAGATTAAAATTTCGATTTAAAAAAATTTAAAACACGGGAGAAAATTAGGCCAGGCCGGCTTGCTGGAATAGGAGAATCTTAAGAGCCTTGGTAGTACAGGGGTTTAAGGCACCCTGTTATTAAGCTGGTTATTAAGACCAGCTGCCTGCAATTACTGCAGGGTTCGAATCTCGCCAAGGCTCAAGGTTGACTCAGCCTTCCATCCTTTCTAAGGTAGGTGAAATGAGGACCCAGTTTGTGGGGGCAATAAGCTGACTTTGTATAAATATACAAAAGGATGAAGGCTATTGCTGAGCACATTGTAAGCCGCCCTGAGTCTTCGGAGAAGGGCGGCATATAAATCAAATTAAAAAAAAAAAAGAGCATGGAGGAAAGTGCGTAGAACCGGGATCCTCCGTATATCTGGGGGGAGCTCGTTCCAGATAGTGGGTGCCCCCACAGAGAAGGCCCTCCCCCTGGGAGCAGCCAGTTGACATTGTTTGGCTGACGGCACCCGGAGGAGCCCCTCTCTATGAGAGCGTAGCGGCCTGGGGGAGGCTGCTTGTGGTACTAGGCGGTCCTGTAAATAACCAGGTCCTAAGCCATGGAGCGCTCTAAAGGTGGTAACCAAAACCTTGAAGCGCACCCGGAAGTCCACCGGGAGCCAGTGCAGCTCGCGCAGGAGAGGTGTCACACGGGAGCCCCATGTAGAGCGTTGCAGTAGTCCAGGCGGGAAGTGACGAGGGCATGAGTGACTGTGTGTAGGGAGTCCTGATCCAGAAAGGGACGCAACTGGCGAATCAGGCGAACCTGATGAAAAATCCTCCCGGTCATGGCTGTCAAGTGCTCTTCTAAAGACAGCCGTGAATTCAGGAGGACACCCAAGTTGCGAGCCCTCTCCGTGGGGGCTAGCGATTCGCCC